AAGTGGCCGGTGCCAATTTGCCAGTTGGATAAAAATTCCTACCAGGCCCCTTGGACAACCAAGGCGACCAACCACAGGTCCATAGCAATGTCAAGAACCAAGCAGTGAACTAAAGGGAGGGTGGGTGAGTGATCCGACGAAAACCAGCAGCGGAATGAAAGGGAAGTCCTGCTGTGGCCATGTTTGAGTGGCAAAACCCCACCCCCAAGTCTCCACCTGGTTGGTTGGCTACCTGGGGGTGTGGTGCAGCAGCCAGCTCCTGCTCACAACTCCTCCCCTCTGTAAGAAGGAGAGGCTTTCTTGAACACTTCTTGCAAAAAACCGACCAAGCATTATCTCATCAGTTAGTTGCTGTGTGCTTAGCCCATCATGGGGAGATATTAGGAAGAACTTTGACGGTAAGAGCTGTTCAACAGTGGAATGGATTCTCTCGGAAGGTTGTGGGTTTTCCTCCATTGGAGGTTTTCATGCATTGGTTGGATGGTCATCTATCATGGATGCTTTAAGATTCCTGCATTGCGTTGCAGGGTGTTGGTCTAGATGACCCTTGAGGTTCTTTTCCAACTCTACATTCTATGATTATACAATTAAAAGGGCTCCCCCCATCCCAATTCCAACTTAGCCCCACAAACAGGTAACTAACAGAGACCATACTGCAGAGGGAGGGAGGGTGCAGCACAGGAAAAACTGCAGAGCTTAAGGAATGAAGCAAGCTTATAACCCTAACTCCTCTTGTCTCTGATTGGCAACAGATGCCACCTGATGGAAAAGTCACCACCCCAGGACAAACCAAGAAAATCTTTTTTTGGGGGGGGGGACTCGGGTTTGGCAAAGGTGCTCACACTAATCAGGTGGAAATGGCATTCTCTCACACACACTTTCACTCTATGTCTTAAAGTTGTCAGTTATTATTTCAGTTGACATCTTACTGAATATCATTGTAAGAAGGTAAACAAGTTCATAATTATTTTTCTAATATTGTGTAAGTGTGGTTAGAAGGGAAAATATAATTCAGCTCATAATTCCAAGTGTTTTATTTTGGGTCTGCCTGAGTGCACTTGTTTCTTGTTTTTGTTTTTGAATGCAGTGATGCATTGACTCAACAAAGACGTGATTGCTATCAAAGGCTTAAAATTCAGATTAACCACTTTTTGGCACATCACCCCCATTTTCGGTTTGAACTTGGAATCTATTCTGTGCCTAGACCACTAATGAGAAAATCCGTGCTTATGAATTCAGTACAGAATGGACGGTTTCCCCCCCCTTTTGCATAATGTCTGCTTTGAAGTCAGGCAGTCCAAGAAAATGATTGATCTCGCACAAGTTCATAACTTTTTCAAAGTACTGCCGATATCATTAAATTTTAATTAACCCTTTGAGCTCCTTCTATGATGTAAAGATGAGGGAACATCAAAGGCTTGTGTGTTAGAGCAGCAGTGGAATCTTTTGAGCTGGCTTAGCCTTATTGAAGATATCTAAGCTTCAAAATATTCTTGCTCTGTAGTCAGCGCATTTCTAGTTACTGCCTTGGCTCTGTTCTGCCACCCTCTCAGCTAGATCTATTTATATACTCTAGTAACGAACACTCCTTAAACCATGTTCCTTCCCTACCTTTAAAATAATCAATTAATAATTAAATATCTGTCTTTTCTCTCTGTGATTTCACCCCCCCCCCCATGTATATCAGAACATCAAATGTTGTTCTCAGGGGAAGATTGGCTATGTGATCTTTTGAACACTTAATTTGCAATTAAACAAGAATGTTGCTATGTGAATTCATCAAAAGCCAACAGAAGAGAATGCAGAATGATTGGTTTCCAATTCTTGGATTTCAGTTGTGAGCCAAGCTACAGAATTCTTATTTTATCTAAGATAGCGCCAAGTGATTTTTGTTTTTGAGGGGAGGTTCAAATCAGCTATGTTGTGTTTTTTTGCCATGTGGTTTACGTGAATCATTTATGCTATTGCCAGATAAGTGTATCATTACATTTATATTACTATGTTTGTGATGGGACTTGGGGCATTGCCTGTTTGTAGAAAAAGAGTAAAAATTACAAAGACAAGAAAATATAATAGCTACATCAATAAGGATCTGAGTTCTCATCCTGGGCTTTACTTGTTTGACAAGGATTATTGCCAGAAAAGTTATCGTCGGGCTCTAATGCTGTGATCTAATTGAGAAACCCAATATGTATTCTGAACAATAGTCCATTCACACACTCACACTGCAAAGGCATCATCTCCCCACAACAACAGGAAGCTGGTTCTTTGCCTGTGCAAGAAGGCTCAGATAGTAAATTTCAAGGTGATAGAGACCCCATTACATGCAAATATATTTTTACTAGGATCAATGTGTTTCCTGACATTTATACTGTAAATAATGGCTTTGCAGAATGCAAGGGTCAAAACTGTAGCTGTGATAGCTCATAATAATTTTGAACTGAGTAATAATTAACATATAGCATCTTATAGCATAATAATTAGAACCTTGTTTCCTTAGTATTTTTGAACCTAAGAAAAGCAAAAATGTGTGTGTGTGCATAAAATGACAAAAATGTTAGCAGCTTATGGATTAGTCAAATCGTTTTTCAGTATCTGTCAGCTTTAAATCTGTTTCAGGGTTACAGATGGGATACATTTAGAGGACAGCATCAAATTTACTATGTGACACATGAATGAAAATGAAGTTGTGACATCTGGCAAAGAGGGTGAAAACAGACATATGGAAAAGAAGCTTTCATGAGGAATTGTCTCTTACAAGGGTCAATTTTTTTCATTACTAATGTGATGGCCATTCAGAGGAGCTGTGTGCTTGAAGCAGTTGTATTTTAATACAATTTTGAAATGGTGAACCCAAGAGTAATGTTATTTCTATTGTTGACCTCTGTAACACCACTGGGACACCAAATGTGAAAGATGGGGGAGGAGTTTTATCCCCTCTAAACCTCCCCATGCTTTGAAGGCTCTAGCTTACCCTTTCTAAAACCCTTTCTAAAATTGACTATGCATAGACTTCAATTTTTTATCCCTTATAATTCTGCTGCCACTATAAATGCTTTAATAAAACCTTATCTCTTAGTATACCATCAATAATACATTAGTAGGGTATTAGTATATAGGCCAAATAAGAACATTATTTAAACAATTGTTTAAAATTTAAACAAATATAATTATTAAAAACCTGATTTGCATATAATACATGTTAATAATATATGAGACTAGATGTTATCCATAAGTTTCAATAGTTGCTTACAATGAACTGTTTCTTTAAGGAATCTGATACAGCCTTATCCTTCTTTTCTAATTATTCTTTTCCTAATTTGACCTTCCAGAGTCCGGATTTGACATTTACCATCTAGTCAGGAACTTTGTGAATGGACACAGGGTTGAACATAATCTCTCAACTGCTAGGAATGGGGGGGGGGGATTGATTTAGTTTGCATTTAAAGGTGAACTTACTAAATCTGAACTTTCTGAAATAAAATGTGAACTGAAACAGCCATCCTTCAAAACGTGCACTTCTCAAGTGCAGTTGTGTAGTCAAGTAATGTATACAGAAATACACATACAGTGGTAAAGTGTGCATATCAATACATGTATTAGATAAACTAACATACAAAAATGCATTATATTATTAGAAACTGCTTTGCAGTTTTTCTCTCACTCTTTCACTCACTCACTCACTCACACACACACACACACACACACACACAAACAAACAAACAAACACACTTGTCCCTTACAATGGACTTTTTTCTTGAGACATGCACTTTCACTGGCAGGGCTGCTTTAGCTTCCCTTGAAAGCTCTGGTCAGGGACTTGAATAACAGGTCATAGCCAAGTAGATGACATATAGTTGCCTCTCTGAGGGCAACTGCCTACAAATGTTGCTCTGGCTAGAAAATATCCTTGAAAACCACCTCTGGAGTCTTCCTCTTATTCCTACTTCTAATGCTTTTTGCCTTAATGCATCAGCTCTTCCTAAGCTCTTCTGCAGCAGCAGTGGCCATCACTGCTGACCACTAGATCATACTAACCCTGGACAATTCTGTGCCTGCCATATTATACCATTTCAGTCAGGATCAATGGCTTTGAATTACTTCTGTTCCCTGCCAGCCCACATGGCTATAATTTTAAACCAATAAGAGCTGATAGAATGTTCAGTAACTTGACCTTTTGAATTCTCCTGTCCAGCATGGGAACTGACAGGTGTAACATGAACCACTAAGGCCAATGATAGCTTTCTTGTAGCTGTAAGAACTTACAGGCACCATACAAAAGTAACAGTTAGACTTCATATAGAGCAGGCTGACCTTTTTCACCTCTCTCACTGATTCCCACTTATAAAGCACAACATTTGCTTTCAAAACATACTCTTCTTTTTATATTTACACAACATTTGAAAATATTTTACCTCAGACTTTGACCCACCAGTCCTTCACCACACCCTCTCATTGCACACCTCTAGGCCTAGGCGATATGTTACATTCACCACAGGGAATCTACATCACCCTAGCAAGCTTTTTCACTCTTCAGCATAGTATTTAGAATTGTGTGGCTCATGTGAGCTTCCCTTCCATTGCTCTTTGGCATTAGAAGTGTTGTCAAATTTGATAAATCTCACTGCATCATAGCTCCAAATCATGCAGAATATATTGCTGCACAGTCCGGCTTTGAGGGAGGTGGTGCATTTTGAATTGGGGACATTGTATAGGATAACTAATTGAGATGCTAAAAGTACAAGTACTTAATTTCAGTGACACGAGAAAGGCCATGAGGGAGCTTTAATTTAACTGCCATGAGGAAGGCCATGGATGTTCTGAATTAAAACCAATACTATGCTATCCTTGGTATGGAGCTTCTGTAACTACACATACTGAGTATTAAACATTTGACTACCCATCCATCTTGCTTTGTCCATCTCTTTTCAAAATGCATCAGTGCTTTATACTCCAGTGCTGCAATTAAAAACACTTAATAGGATCTGGAAACTTTACAGATGAAGTGGTGACAGCAGCAGAACATATCACAATTGCCTTAAGTATAATCATGTCTTTAATTGCCAAAGCAATGCTGTTTCAAAGTGAAGCTATGGAAGCTGAACAGATCAAAGCCTATTGGACAGTCAGTAAGATCCAGTCTATGTACTAAGAAGAAAGGTAAGAAAGAATTTACATGTGTTTAAAGTTGCCTGATAGCTCTGGGCCTTTTCCATTTTTCAATAACTGTGTTTTCATTTTGTAGTCCACACCTGCTTCTTATGCTCCGGAGATATTTGATACTGTTACAGAAAAGTATCAATAGTAACTCTTGCTCTTAGCATCATGGGGCTAGATTAGATCATCCCGAATGTTCTACTTGTAAAATGAAACGATGTAATGAATGTGAATGCTACTCACAGTGGTTGACACACTATTATATGTATCATAAGACTATAATTGAATGAAAATGTCGATTTTGTTTTATTTAAATGATGTCAGTGCTTTCTAAAGGTTGCAGCATCAGTGGAGGCTGAAGTACTTTCTTATGTCAGAGGGTAACAAAAACAGCCTTTGACTCCAGCAGTGCAAATCAGTGGGCCACTTCACCTGAGTACACGCTGAGTCTTTGACATGTCTTATTGAGACACATACAGAGGTTTAAATTTTAAATATTATATCGTGTCAGATGCTAGATTAAAAACAGATTGCACTTGAGGAAACTGTGATGCATTTTGCGGCTTTCAGGGGTCAGTCTGTTTGGCAAGGGAACTGAGGGCTTTTCCAGAGTTTGTCTGTGTCCAATGAATGGCACAGTAGTTGTAGTTAATCCACTGCACATTTCCTCTAGGAAGTGCCTCTATAAAATAGAAATCCTATTTTCTGATTACTTAAATTGCAATATTTTGTTGCTGTGAAAAAATTGTTTCCCACCACATCCCTCACAGTATGCCTGTAGTAATTACCCATGCAATTTGGATCATGCTTACATCAATGTCACAGGTGCATAGGCTTGCTGCAGATGAAATATTTCCACTATCTTACCATGGTTAGCAAATTGGGAGCATGATGTTGGCTTCATATTTGCTTTTTCCATGTTAATTTCCTTTTCTTAAACCATCGAGTAATTATATCCATGCACTGCTGTACTTGAGGAAAACTATACCCTGGTGGCATTCTCTCCCTCCCTGTCTTCTTTGGGGCCACTCTGGGAGATAAAGAGAAATATAGGGAACTGACTGGAAGTTGTTGTTTACCGTGATTTAGGAAGGTACAGAGCATCCACCTTGATGTACATGTTGTGATCCCTACAATTATGGCTGGCTTGCAGTTGGGGTGGCTGTTGCTGTCAGAGGAGGAGGGTGCAGAGCTCCAGGACACTGACTTCACTCTTTTGCCTTTAGAGGCCAGGGGGAGCTGTCCTGTCAGCTCCTTGTCCTGCCCCATTAATAGAACAGAGATTCCCTAGCAATGAGGGAAGTTGTTCACCACCCAAGAGGGGAGACTTGACAGCTGGAGGAGGAGGATCCAGAAGGAATTATACCTATCTCATGGCTGACAACTCAGTTCCATTTATACCATTGGCAGCAGACCCCTGCCTCTCAGAGAAGTGCACCATTCTTATAGCAAGACAGAGTCTGATGATTGAGTATGGCATATCTCGTGATTAGAAGCTGGCAGGGGGGCTATGACCATTTGTTGAAACAGCTTCAGACCCAATTCTGTTCTTGAACTCTCTAGCCTTCCCTTTGGTGATCTGTATCTATCCCATTGTAAGCCTTAATAAAGTTTTATTACTTTCTCACACATAAGAGAAAGGGTCAGGAGCCTTGGCTGTACACAATTTTCAAAGGATCAGGCAAAGAAAATGATAGTGTGTCACAGATGTAGATGACTCTTTATGGTGTTAAGATTTATTCTTTTGGAATTTGGTCATGCATACTGAGCCTCAGTGATTGTCAGTGGAATTCCTCCTGGTTGGATGGGACCTTGCAACTCTGACGTTTATTGAGAATAATGTTGTAAACTGAATTATTTAATGTGGAAAGGACTGTAGTTCCGTGGTAGGACATCTGCTTTATATTCAGAAAGTGCTTGGCATTTCCAGATAGAGCTGATCAACACCCCTATCTGAAACATTTGAGAGCTGATGCCAGTGAACTAGATGGACCAATGGTTCAGCTTGGTATAATTCAGCTTCCTGTGTTCCTATGTTCCTAATTCATGGGCTTTCTCAGTCATTCTGTGTCACACTCTTTTTGTAATCTAGGTGGATCATGTTTTATATTTGAATGCCTTTCTGACCCTTAAGAAAATTAGTGCGTGACTTTCTAAAGCATTTTTGGATTTAGTAGGCATCTCTTGGATATTATGAGGAGGTGCTGCCTCTTGTAAATAAGATTCATATTAATTCTTCCTTATAAAACACTTCAGTAGAAAAGACTGCAGTGCAGAGAAGCACTATTTAGAAAACATCCTTGTCCTTCAGAAGGAGAAAATACTTTGGGAAGGATGGAAGTGAGAAGAGCTAATTAGTTATATGAATTACTGTGGAATCAGAGTGGTTGGGAGGGGAGAACATTCAGGTTTATGCCTAGCTGCTGTGGTGGATGCATTTCAGTTGCAACTGTTCTGCTATATTAGTTGCCTTCCTACAGTCTGTATACAGCACACATATCTGTTTAAGACTATATAGGACTGATGCTCATATTACCCAGAACTTCGATTCAAAATGTATGTTTTCTGTGATATATGAGCAAATCAGTTCAGGCTGCGCGCATCCGATAGCGAACACTATATATAAAGTCATGCTGTAGCATATATTGACAGATCCATTACAACCGCTGCAAAGTATTTACTTCAAGTTAAATTGGTACAAAATGATATACCTAACAAGTTAGTTGTTAGTTTCTTGTCACATTTTCTAGTTACAAAATTTGGTAGAGGACATTTCATTTGTTGTCTTAAATAATACTAGATGCTCTAGGTTTGGGGTGGGCAACCTGTGGCCTTCCAGATGTTTTTAGAGTACAACTACCATCATCTCTCATTATTGGCCATGATTGTTTGGATTCTTATGTGTTTTCAAGTGAGTTGTACCTTATCCCCTTCGCTGCTTGTCTCTAAGTACTGGTGTCAGAAGTGGAATCAGTGCTTTTCCTTAATTCGCTACATCATTGTTCATGGCATGTTTTTATTGTTAAGTTTTTATGTTCTGTTAAATGTAATGTTTTTCTTTTGTGTTTTTGTCTGTGTGTTATAAGAGAAAACTAATTTTTTTTGGGGGGGGGAGAACAGTTTCAGGATAGAACAGTTTCAGGATAAGAACGGACCTCCGGAACAAATTAAGTACGTAACCAGAGGTACCACTGTACCCATTTGGCACTTTTTAAAAGCCAAGAGCTGCATTATAGCATTTGAAGAAATGTAAAAAACCAAAGAATAAATGTGTTCCAATCTGCTACTGCAGGAAGTGTCAATCAGGTTGGTTGTTGCTTAAAAACACAAAACCCTGCAATATCTTAAGGTCCATCTTAATGCCTTCTACCACACTGTTCTGTGTGACTTGGTAAGAATATCGCTCTTTGTAACACCATTTATTCTCTTTGAATTCTCCTGCAAGACTATAACAGAATATTTCCTAGAGCACCCTGGCTTATCCTTACCATCTGCTTCACTGCTACATGATTCCCTGCACCCACCATCTATCCCTGCTATTCATTATCAGTCCCTGTCTTCTTCATCCTTGTCTTTGCCATGTTATATGGATTTTTAAGCCTTCTGGGCAAACAATGACTTGAACATTATTTTCATGGTGTGTGGTTTTTTTAAAAAAAACAAAATCTGTGTACATATGTAAGTCCAACTGTCCCCTTTTACCAGTAACAGTCTCCCCCTACCCCTAGCACTCATAATTCCTTTGTGTTTTTCTTTCAGTATTTCTAGCATTTGCATTCATACTCCAATATGTAAGTGCATTTACATTAACACAAAATGACAGTGCAAAGATTCCTTTACCTCTAGTTTATCACTCTCTTCCTCCAATAGCCATGTGTCCAGATTTCCTACAGAGATCAGGACAATAAAGGATATTGGAGAAAACAGCAGACAAAGAAGAACCTTCATTAATTTGAAATAGTGTGCATGTGTGCGCGTGTGTATGTGTTCTCAGACAATAATCAGGCATGAAAACAGGGAACATTCTATATACACTGCTGTTCCTATTTTCCTCTGTGAGATGCTGGAAAGCATTATGTAGTTAACAGGCATGGCCCTGTTCTTTGGCAGGGTATAGTGAAAAATATACAGTTAAACTAGTATCAAGCTGATTGTTTTGTGTTTTAGTAGTATAATTACAAGGTGGGGGTCCATATTATATAGGAGACCAAAATATTGTTTACTAGTTTTACCAGTGCAGTATTTTGTGGATTAATGTAGTATCAACAGCTTTAAAAAAGATTGATGTACTTGTATTTAAAAAGGTGTACTATAAAGCACAGCTAATACTGAAACAGAATATTATCTGAAATGGAAAACAAGAAAATATTTCATGAGTCTTTTAGCATACTTTTTCTTGTCTATAGATGTACTGATAATATTCAGTTTTGCATGCTCAGATGCTAGTGATCTTACCATTGCCTTTTTCATGTTTGTCTCATACACCAGAACGTTAGGTGCTGTAACATTGAAGGGATGGATTACCTCCCCATAGGTCTTATTATATGAGGGCAGACAAGATGGAAGAAAGATTTCAAATATGTTAGGTGATGGAAGAATGTTCATGGGGAGTCATGTGGAACTGGAAATGTAGACAAGGTGAATCTAGAAAAGCCTTGGCAGGAATAGCTTGGTGTTTTGGAACATCCTTGGAAGAGATGGTGGTAGTTTGGTAATTGGAGGGATGTAAAAGCGTGGCCAAAGGGATGGAGACAAGAGTTGTGGAAAGAAATAAAGATGACTGTGCATACAACAGAGTGGGGGGAAATGAGAAATAAGTACGTGGGGAGAGAAAATATAATTGGTGCCAGATGTTAATCCAGAAAACAGCCAGCAGAAGCAAGCAATATTGTGTTCTCTAGGTTGTAGAAAAGGAACAGAAGTCTGAAATTTAATACGAAGTGCTAAGTAACCCATGCATTGATATAAAGAGAGAGATATAATGTGATGGGGGGGGGTGATCAAATAGATTTAGGGCCAAGCATTGGCATGCATAATGCCCAGAACATGTAGAAAATGCACATTCTCCCAAATCTGTTTGTGATTATGCATATTGATCAGAGAGTATACAAACATCAGATAACATGCATATTCCCCAATTTCTCTTGG